GTCATTTTCGACCCCTATTACCTCTAAATTGACTAGTCCGGATTTACGGGTGTTACATCATGTGTGCTTACTCCTTTGTATGCGTGTAATGAGTTATCTTTACTTTATAAGGAAATGAGTGACTCTCATTTTATCTAAGGAATAACTTTAGAGTGATTAGTTTAGAGAGAGAATCATTGCAAACCCACTTGTACTCTTTCTAAAAACTAATGAAAGTTTAAACGATTTATTTACTCTTGTGTTCTTCATGTTCATGATTCTTACAATGATTCACTAGATCTTATCAATTCCGCATATGTCATCCTAATTCAAATCACATCAGAGTGGGTCTTCGAAGATCAAAGCGGTTTTTTGAAGAAACGGTTCTCGGTTTGGCTATATTCAACACAATTGGAACATTTATGGTGAGTCTCTCGATGATCTCTCTAAATCTTTTTGGTTCGTGCTTACATTCTTGAATTTTTTATCATTTTGACTCATTGGATCAATTTTTTATGAAAAACCCATTTGTTATGATCCAGTAATTTTTTCATTGATCAAGCCACAATTCTTTTGTTCGATTTTATTCTCAATTGAAATTGTTTGTTTAAATCAAGATTTTATCCAAAATTCATTTTGATTCAGTTTTGGATTTTGATATTGGCTATATTCAAATTCAGCCAAAATCTTTTGATTTGACTAATCCATATATTGAGCCCAAATTTGATGTCCATTACTGTTCATGTCTAAATTTGAGCCCATAAATCAATTCATTTAATAGATTCAATGATTGGTTGAAATTCAATCAATATTAACCCATTGATTGATTCATCGGTGTCATACGCTTAAAATTATTGTACATCTCGATTTTATTGACTCGTGTTCTTACGGTTTCGGTTTCTTCTTATCATTCCTAATAATCGTTTGTAGTTGATTGATAGTCTGGAGCTGGGATTCGATTTCATATGATTTGGTATATGATGAAATCGATTTTATTCAAGTCATAGCATAGAAATTAAAATTTGATTCTTTGATTTTAAAGATTTTGATCAAGAACACTTGAATATGATGAAGAACAATTGGATGAACTTGTTTTGATCTAAAATTTGATGTTAGAATAATCAATTTCATGTTTTGTGACTTTTGATTTCAAAAAGTCAAACGTGAATTTCAAGTGGTGATTCTGTGAATTGGTGGCTGAAATTGGTTAATACAAGTTGTTTTGAGGCTATGGATGTCGAAATCAAGTCTGATTTGGGGTTCAATTTTGAATATTGGTTGAGTACATGTTCTTGACATCGAAGATTGGAATGGTTTTTGCTCAATACTTAATGTTGATTTGGAAATCAAACATGGATTAGTGAATGTGAAGTCGAACTGAAGCTGAAATCGATTTCGATGGTGTATATGTGTTTGTTCGCATCGAATGGGAAGGTGTGATGTTGAATGTCCGTTAATTGAGTATTCGATGTCTTGCAGTTGACTTTGTTGATGAGTGATTATGTTGATGATCGAAGATTCAGTATCGATGGTTATGTCGACATTTCTTATCTGGTATCGAGTTCGAAAATTATTACCTGGATTCGTGGTTGATGTTATTTACCTGGCAATAAAGTCGGGGTCTTTATCAGGTCTAGATATTAAGGATCGAAGTATTGGGTGCTTAACACTGGATGACTTTTGCAAAGATGATTAGGGATCAAAGGCTTGGAGTCGATATCAAGGATTAGTTAATGAGGTTAAATGGTTTGATTTCGATGGTTTGAGGAATCGAACGCCTGGAGGTCGGTAGTCGGTATTTGATATCCTTATTTAACTGGTATAATGATTTGGGGTTAAAATTGAAATCGATGTCGATTGATGATTGAACTTCGATGTCGAGGATCCTTTGTTGAGTTTTGATGTCGATGATCCTTTGCCAAGTACCAATGTCGAGTGTTGAGTGATATCGTTTGATGTCGAGTATCTAATTTCGTTTTCAAAGTCTTCGTTGTGGGTAATCAATTTGGTGCTTCGCTATGGTCACTCTTTGGGTAATAGTGAATGTCAACATATGAATCAGGAAAGCAAAGTGCAGGTGGAGGAGAATTAAATTTTGTCGATTCGGATCCCTGGAATTTCAACAAAGTGGCAAAATTGCCCAAATGATGACAAAACTTATGAAGAATGAGTAAGTTTTGTTTCAAATCCCTGATGTTTCGAAGACTTTACAGAATTTACCCAACTTCGATATTGGGCTGAATATTCTAAGAAATGGGATTATTTTTTAAACATGCCCCTACAGTTAATGTGAATTGCCACTTTATGTCGAGTTTCGCATTTAGGGTAGGGTTTCACATCTTTGACTATTTTGGGCGTATCAGGTCACTACAGAATTTCGAAATTGTCAATTTCTACCCAATTTTATGAAATTTTGTCAAAGGCGGTCTGTGAACGGATTCGAAAATTGAAGATTTTTTGGATTTTTTGGATTTAAGCAAAATATTTATTCCATATGTTGGGGGGGAGGGGATTTGGATAGAAATGTTTCGAATTAAAGTGATTTCTCATTCCTTTTTGGTTTTATAATCATCTTTCGATTATAAAAGGGGTGAGAGATTTAAATATGGGAATTCGAAAGTTGAATTTTTCATATTACGTGTACTTGAAGACCGAAGTGACCTTGACAAACAAAGTTTATAAAGTTATTTGATTGGAGATTCGAAAGTGACTTGGGTTTTCCTGGTTCATAATGGGTTTGGATTTATTAAAGATTTTTGGAGTGTGCTTTTATGCTCAAATTTGGGTAATATTTTGGATATTTGGATACTCCTAATTACCTTTTAATGCTCAGTCTGTACGGTCTCACACTCTAGAACGTGGATTGGAAGGTTATTGAAGAATTGAAGATTTGAAGTTCATTTCTACATGTGTCACGCTTGAGGTTTGGCCCGTGAAGTTGCTCGATTTTCGAAGATTTGAAGCGGGTCACTCATTCCTAACTTTGAGGGGGAGAATGGTGGGATACAAAGTTATTCATGTATAACTTTGTAATGGTTTGACTCATGTAGACCCACTTGCATGTGGTAATAGCCTTGTGACATGAGATTGATAGATAAATAGAGAGAGAGAGAGAGAGAGAGAGAGATGTAAACACCTCTATATAAGGTGGGTTCCATACCACTTGTAGAGGTGTGCTTGAGAGATATACTTCATAGTAACTAGTGACTGATGTATTTATGAAGTTTTAGATCTAGTACCCTTTTTATACTCATTCCTATGATCGAATACATCTTTTAGCACCCAAATCACCGTATTCTTTGTGTTCTTTAATTCCGCATGTCAAATCAAATGCTCATAATTCACATCATGCCTCTTTGTTCGCAGCATGGGGTGTCATTCTTAGCACTTCAAGAAACTAGAATGACACAAGTTGATCTTTTTAAAATACATAGTATGTGGGGTTAACTATAGATTTGATTCTACTAGTAGTTGTGCTTGTAGTCGCTCAGGAGGGATTCTTTTGTATGGGATCCGACTATTTTTTGTTAAAAGTAGTGTGTTGTGTACAAATAATGTTGTTATTGTTGGCAGGTTGTGGGTCCTTATAATATAAAATATTTTATGGTTAATATCTTTTCTCCTTAATATTTTGTGGGGAACGATGAGTTATGTGATTTTTTGCTTTCTTTTGTTCGAAGGAATGGGGGTTAATTATATCTTTTTTGGTGATCTTAATGAGTTAGAAAAGCTTATGAAAGGTATGGATTGGTTTTATGTCATCTTTTTAATGATTTTATTGACAATTTGGGAGTTGTTGATGTGCCTATCACTAGGAAGAAGTTTACTAAATTTGGTGCTATTGGAGCTAAATTGAGTAAGGAGTTGTTTGGTAGGATTCGAATTTTTAAGAGGTCTGAATTTCTAAGAGGGTCTGGATTTTTAAGATCTAAATTTTTAACATGTTGTTTGGTTGAAACTTCTAAATTGTGCTGGTGAATTATAAAAATTATTATTTTACCCTTATGAGTTATTTTTATTGAATTCAATGTTTCTATTTATAAGCGAACAAACTTCTTCCAGCTTCTTGAATAACTATAAAAAAATATATAAAGACCACAAAGAAAATATAAACAATGTACTATAATTATTAAACTAGGAAAGATCTTTATCAAATACACCAACTTCCTTCAACTTTTCCAACACGTTTTCAACACAGGGGACTTGTTTATTTTCCAATATTTTAATGTTGTCATCTTCCTAAACAAATCCTAAATTGCATATGTTTAAACCAAAAAATAACACACTCCAGCCCACGATGATGAATCAAAAACATGCAAATTGGAAACAACCATCATTATTCATAACAAATCTTATGTTAATGAATCCATAACATGCTAATATTTGAGATTTCATCCAACAAAACAAAAAACATATGATTCATCAACAAACATTACCATATTTCGTATAAATAATAATAATAATAATAATAATAATAATAATAATAATAATAATAATAATAATAATAATAATAATAATAATAAATAAATAAATAAATAAATAAATAAAAGAAGAAGAAGAGCAAATTGATGTATTTACTTGAGAAATAACCATGTCTGCCGTGGTTGGAACTTACAATTCATTACACTAAACACAAACAACAAATCATCTTGAAAGTGGTCTAACATATATTTCATTTATCTCAACTGAAGATTGATTAGGAAGAGTTCTTTACCACTTATCCTTTTTTATCCTTTTAGATGTCTATTACAACAAAATTGAAAGTAATCTAACAACCTTAACAGCAATATTCAAAATCATGTATCAAAGCTAACAACAAATTAAGGGAAAAAACAATTTCATGTGTAGATTTCACAGAAACGATCTAGCAACCCTAAAAACCATCAGTGTTCAAACGATTTCAAAAACCGAGTTCACATAAATCGATTTTTGGAAAATTAGAGAAAAACAAACGTGGTGCGCAACGGAGGTTGAGTGGCGGTCATCGGTGTTGTCAAGGGAGGATACCAGCGTTGGCGAAGCTAATGTTGTCGGAGATTGGCTTCGGAGGTCTGACCTTGGTGGTAGAAGTCGATATCAGAAGCTGTGAGAAACTCGTGTGTATGAGGTCGATGATGGGGGCAACAATGTTGTACGACGTCGACGATGGGAGGAGGTGAGAGCAGATTATCGGCACTGGATTTGGTCAGATGTGGGAGGAGATCAGAGGGATGATGAAGGCAGGTGTATGTTTGATAGACGGATGCGTACAAGGGCAAACGAGAGAAGACCACGTTTTTTTTTTTTTTTTTCAGATATGAGTTGAAGTCTGAAAGTTTAAGACGCTTTCAAAAGATTCAAACGCTTTTATTCATACCCAACCAAACACTCTTAATCTTAATAATAAGATGTTGCCTCTTAATTTTTTAATTAATAGGCTACCAAACAGCCCTTAAGCTCGATCATTATATAGTTTCTGAAGCCATTTTTGATAGTTTTGAGATTTTACAAGTTTCAAAAGCTTTTATTCTTCTTTTAAAATTTTTAATTCTTGCTTATAACCGGAACGTTTTGAGATGTTGTTAGAGGGGTCGTGTCGAGGTTTGTAGTTGATCCAGTTTAGAGCAAATTTGTTTTATTTAAAAAACAAGATTAAACTTATTAAATCAAAATTAGGTGACGTTGCTAAGATGGAAAAAATTAAATCTCAAAAAGCTAAGGTAACGATATTATAGATTTTTTGTGCAGGAGTTCTTTTCTAGGCCATCTTTCCCCCTTGGATGTAATGTAACTCCTCGAAAGCTTATGAAATTCAAATTTATTTTCACTTAACATAAACACTGATGAAAAAAGACACCACATTTCACAACAACAAACGCAATTTATTGCATTGCGATAAAACTAACAACAAACTATTTACAGATATCATGATATACACACATAATATCATATATATAATATCAAGGTGAAAGTTGAAAACCATACCCAACTCGAAGCTCAACATCATCATCATCATCATCAACAACAACAGCATCGACTCTGTTCTTGCTTCTCTCATACTCAACATCGTCTGTGGGCAACTCAAATCGGCAAACAGGGCATGTGTTACGAATGTTTAACCATGGCAGGATGCAGTCACCATGGTAATGATGACGACATGGAAGCTCTGTCACTTTCTCTTCAATCGAAATTTCATCTTTACAAACTGCACAGATGACATGGTCGTCATCTTGTTTTGAATCTTTGTTGTTCTTTAAGGTCACCAATGGTAGATTATCCACGATGGATTTGGAAGCAGGAGGACTACCTCTTAAAGCTCGAACAGTCTCCACGAATTGACCAATTAGAGTATCGAATTCAGCTGTGTAAACAAAACCCTCACCTCCTTCGGTTTCAAATTCGAGGTCTCTTTCAAGGTTGTTGACAGCTAGAAGGATCTCCCATTCCAAAACCCCAACGGCGGCGTCTCCTTCTGAGGAAATTTCAGATGAAACGGAAATCTCTTCGATTCGATCAATCACGGAACTTAATCCGTCTCTCTCGTCAACCCTAGAAGTCGCTTCTGCTTCTGCTTCTTCTCTCTCGATAGATGAACAATCCCAAAAACGTTCGAGATTCGGTTCACTGTGTTGAAATCTATCGTTAACTTGACCTAATTCTTCTGTATCTGAGTCCGATTCGATTCCGACGACTCTTAAACCGCCGCCTTCAAACCCTAGATGCTCGATATTACTGGAAACGAAATCGTCGTTGTCGTCATCAATCGGACTACCTTCAGAAACGCTGATTCCTACATCGGTGCTCGAAAACCGGCGAGAAACAAGCTCGGTATCTCCACGAGAGTCGAACAAATCGGTGATGAAATCCATTTGGTCGTATTCTTCATCGTCACCATACAAACAATCCGGATAAACAGTTGAATCCGGAAATTCGGATGCGGATTCTGATTCCGATTCAGATGAGCAACACGAACATGAATTCGAATTCGAATTCGATTTTACCTGGTGATTATGATGATGTTGGTGGTGATAACAAAAGGACGAGGAAGATGACGGAACGAAAAACGATGAATTGAGCGGAGAAAACGGATCGAAATTGAAGGTGTAAGGAACGTCTTCTTCTTCCTCCTCCTCCACGTTCACGAGATCATCGTCTTCAACCAAAGTAAAGCAGTTAGTCATGGTGTTGTCTAGGGTTTGTTCAGATGAAATTCCTTCATCTTCTTGGAGTATATCGTGTTCTGATTCATCTGATTGTTGATGTAGAAATTGGGTTTTTGAAATGTGTGCCATTAGCAGAAGTTGATTGAATTTGATTGAACCCAACAAGAATTTGGATTTGGATCAAAACGATGAGGAAGATTTCTTTCTTCTTGGCACACGCTCTTTGACAAATGTTGCTACTCTCTTCCCTTTCTTTTTTTTTTTTTTTTTTTTTTTTTCTTTTTTTAATACAAATCAGAATTTAATTTTTGTTTTTAACGATGGGATTTGTCTCTCAACAACTACACTTGTGTGATATCGTAACACATACTCCAACATATGGATAATGGTCAAATTAATGCTGCCATAACAATAAGTGATAGTACTAGTAATAGAGCATCACAATCGTTAATCATTTGTATAGTTTATTGTTTTTGTTATATAAAGGGTGTCCTTAAGTAACTAAAATAACATTATTGATTTTGTTAAATAAATGGAATCCCTAATTGACTATAGTAACATTGTGAACAAAATTGCTAACAAAAATAACTAAATTTTTTGTGATTTTAGAGAATGATTATTTTGTTTGGGATGCATGTTATTTGAGAAATTAAATATCTTTTTATTTTTTTTTAATCATCTTACTATTTATATGAAAATATAACAAGTGTCTTAAAGTATTCGTCAACAATTCATATGATTAGAAGCATAAGTAGGAAGAAATGATAGAATAATATTTAATTTCTCGAGTTTTTTTGAACTAATGAAAATGTATATTTCGGATAATTCCAGATTCTTACAAAAAAAATATTCCAAAATTTGAAAACAATTCCAAAGGTTTGATGAACAACTTGGAAGTTTTGAAAAAACGTTTTGTTTTTTTCTCAAATCTATCGAACTTTAAAAATATTGCTAATAGGAATCTACCCTAATAAATGAAAATGTTATTGCCACTTGGCATTCACTCATTTATTTGGCTACATGTCATTTTGTCATAATTTTGAAATATATTTATTTTCCACTTATCAATTACTTCATTATTCATTTCTACTATATCATTAATTTAGTTTCCACAAATTAAACCTACTATAATAATTATTAATTTCAAATTTGAAATTTCAATTTCAATTTCAAATAAATTTACACTTTAAACATTTGTATTTATCATTTTATAATAATAAATCGTTTAGTACACGGGTCTAACAATTAAACACATAATTTTAATTAATATATTTTTTGCATGTTTTTTTTCATAATTTTCACTTATTTCACATTTCAAATTCAAAAATACTCTTCATTTAATCGCTCCTATTTAACATTATGTTTTAACTAACCCGTATAATATACGGGTTTCACAACTATCTACCCTAATAAATGAAAATGTTATTGCCACTTGGCATTCACTCATTTATTTGGCCACATGTCATTTTGTCATAATTTTGAAATATATTTATTTTCCACTTGTCAATTACTTCATTATTCATTTCTACTATATCATTAATTTAGTTTCCATAAATTAAACCTACTATAATAATTATTAATTTCAAATTTGAAATTTCAATTTCAATTTCAAATAAATTTACACTTTAAACATTTGTATTTATCATTTTATAATAATAAATCGTTTAGTACACGGGTCTAACAATTAAACACATAATTTTAATTAATTTATTTTTTGCATGTTTTTTTTCATAATTTTCACTTATTTCACATTTCAAATTCAAAAATATTCTTCATTTAATCGCTCCTATTTAACATTATGTTTTAACTAACCCGTATAATATACGGGTTTCACAACTATTAGATATGATAAAAGAACTTAAAATATGATATTTGATTGGAACACGACGATTCGAAATGAACATTAAGAATTTTTTTAAAGTTTTTTTTTGATGAAATTGAGAAAATATACATATACATATTTTATATTTTTGATTAGTCTCGAACCGTCATTTGGCACAAATGGTCATTTTTTTCAAAAAATAGATAAAAACTTGATTATTTTTGTCGACAATATTGTTCCTAGTTTACAATGGTTAGTTTTGTTAAGACAAAACTGCACAAATGGTCTCTGTAGTTTGCTCAAAATTGTCACTTTAGTCCAAAAAAGTTCAAGCTAGTGTCACAAGTCCAAAGTTTTCATTTTCTTGCGTCTTTTGTCCAAAGGGTTAACTTTCATCTGTTTCTCTCCGTTATGTTATGTTTGACTAGTCAAATTAGGGGTATTTTGGTCATTCCCTATTTATGCCCCTTATTTTATATTAATAAAAGAGTCCTATAAAAACGAATCACGATCCCTCTTTGTCGTCGTTCTCAATTGTGTCTTCTTCAACAAAGCGATCGTCTTCGATTTCTTCAAGAAATCAAAATCAAAAATGGTGCTTTGTTTTTGTGGTAAAATAGTCATAGTTTGCACCACATGGACTGACAAAAATCTAGGTAGACGCTTCTAGGGATGCCCTACTGAGGTACGCAAAAGTTTTTTTTTTGGATTTCAGCATAAATCTCCCATTACATGTTACGATTTTCTTTTGTTTATTTAATTTTGAAGGGATTCAAATGTCAATTTATTGGGTGTTTTGATCGTCTAGTGTGTGCACGTTCAAAAGCTATTATATATGGGCTGCTGAGGTCAATCAACAAATTGAAGTCACAAAACACAAGACTCAAATGTTACCTGTTATGCAGTTGGATGTTGTTTGTTTGTTCTGGTTTATAAGAAGTAGATTGAAGTGTAATGGTTTTTGTGGTTTCTAAGAAGTAGATTGAAGTGTAATGGTTTGGGTAGTGTTTTAATGTTTTGGGTAGTATCTTGTTTAAGCAATGTAATCTTTTGGGCAGTACTTTGTGGTAATCTTTTGTGGTTAAAATGTAAGCAATGTAAGCCATGTTTTGCAAGAATTTGTCAATGGTAATTATATTTGGTATGTACATTTTGACCATTCTAATTTGTTTTTGGTTTACACATTATCAATGACAATTGTATGTTTTGTTTAAAAGGGCACATTGGTCAAGTTCTACAACATGAAATTATACATGAGAATAACATCAAGACATTAAACATAACATAAGCCATTAAATCAAATCCAATCTAAATTGTTCCCATGCATCACAGGGGTACACTATTAAGTACCAAAGATAACATCCAAATTGCTTAAACCCTAAAACACATCAAGTACTAAACATACAATACACATAAACATAACATTATCCCAAAAAGACACTTATACCCTTACATGCATCAAAATCCATTGAAATCTCATAACTTACCCCCTTGGCCTTTGCAAGTTCTAGCATTGTGCCCTTTATTTTTACACTTATTGCAAGTTACTTTGATAAACTTTCTTGTAAGCTTTCCACTCCTACTAGTAACATGGCTTTAACTCCCACTCCCACCAGCACCATTGTCTCCATTCTTCTGGATTTTCTCCTCAACAGATTGCCTCCTCTTTTTCTTGGGCCTTCCAGGTTGATTATGGTGTAGAGGAGGGGTGATTTTAATTGGGCATTCACTTAGCAGACCTTCTCGAACTACCACTCGTCCAACAGATCAAGTTGAAGCACAGAGGCTCAAGACGAATACAGCCCGCCTATCACTATTACGTGTATGCGCAAGGGTGGTATATAATTATGATTATGTAGATTTAGTATGTGTGTTTCCGCCCTATCTCCTATTCCTTGTATGGTTGTGGACTTGGGGAAGAGTCGCACATCCGACCGTCTTACTAATCCTAATTATATATGACTTATATGCACGAGGTGATGATAGATGGACCAAGTATGAATCGTATCGTGAGTGTCAGAGCAAAGTTTCCAGGTCTATGAGTGGGTATTCTGCTATTCAGAGAAGCGTGACCCCAGGAGTGCTGCTAAGAAAGCTAATTTTGGGACGAAATTCCATCTAACGGGGGGACGATGTGACGACCCGTAAATTTCTATCTTGTCAAGTCAATCCATTCAACCAAAAGTCGGACTTGTTTCTATTGCCTTTTAGCCTTGTTAAGGGTCATTTTAATGAGTTCTAAGCCTAGTATGCTTAAGAATTGAGTGTTATGAAGTGTTAGCTCGAGATTAGAAGGCAGCAACCGAACCAGAAAGCTCAACACATGAGGTTGAAGGATTCTCAATCCTTCTCGGCATGCGAGAAGGATTGAAGGATTCCCAATCCTTCGACTAAGTCTTCACGACATGCGAGAATTGAAGGATTCCCAATCCTTCTCGCTTTCTAATATCCCACTGATGACGACATGTGCTTACCAATGTTAGCGATTAATTACCGGTTGCACCTTGAGATCGCCCATCCTCAAAAGTCTTGATGAGTACTCTTGAAATATGGTCCGGTCTAACACCTCAATCCATCTCACATGTTGTCAATTGAAGGCCTTAATCTTCACCCTAGCTGACGGATCCTCGTTCTCACTTCCAATCTTGCAGCACCACTGAACTCTAACTAAACACAACCCATGCGAGAAATGCAATTCTCTTGGACATCCAATGACCGAACACCCATGAGTCCCACACTCGCAACTGACTCCACAATCTTCATGCTACCAATCCTTCCCTAGCAACGATGGTGCCTTGAACTCTAAAGTTCTTCCATAGACAATTATCGACCATATCTGAACGATGACTTAACTAGAGAACTATCATTCTAACCCTAAACGAATATCCTCTAAATAATACCCCGCATAGATCCTTACGAAGATCCAGAATGGTAACGGTACACGCAGAACCTACTCCGCAAGATGCATCCCTCTGTGGATTCATCAAGGATTTTTTTTGGCATGCTGGATGGCATATGTGATCCTTGATAACCCAAACACTAGCAGAAAACCAACCCGAGATTTGACTTATCCAAACTCACTCAGAATCCTAAATCGATACATATCCCTAAAATTCATCTATCAGCAAAAAAAGATGACATACCTGTAACATATGGAGAAATACTGATCACCTTCAGCTGTCATGATCAACCCTGCCACACCTGTAGCACCCTAAACCCTTGGAGCAACAAACTCCCTTGTGTACTTTTCCGTACGTGCTGCACTGAATCCGGCCCTACTGTCCTTTCACCCAATGATCAAAAATCA